TCGGCGCTCGCGGCGCTGCCTGAGGAGAGCAGCCGGTGGGGGCTCAGGACACAGTCCCGGTCTCGGTGCCCGAGCCGGTGTTCTGCTTCCTCCTCGCCCGGGCTCCTGGACCGAGAACGGCCGCGTCGGAGCCCTTTGCTGTTAGTTCTCCGCTTTGTGAAGGAGGGCTGGCTGGAGGCTCCTTGTTGAGGTGTTTAAACGTGAAGAGCAGGAGGAGGTGATGGCGGGAAGGACGCTTGCGGCCTTCGTTCGCGTCGTTTATCTGGCGCTTGGTGCCTTATGGCTGAGATTTTTGAGGGGAAAAAGCGAACAAATAAATAAAAAAAACTTTCAGTGTTGACTACCAGGTCCGATTTTTCTGGGCTGACAGACTGCTGAGAGAGGCTTGGGAGTGGAGATTTTACGGAGCAGGTCTGCAAAGGCATTTTAACTTGGTGCTGTTATGTTCTGCAAGAACTGAGTTTTAACATGTGGTCTGTCTGAAGTTTGACTTCTGTTTTTTACAGCCTGTATCTTGCTTTCTTGAACAGTAAACAATTTTTACTTTATTGCTACGCCTGCTTTTGTCTTAGCAAGCTGCCAAAGGATCCATAAATTTATCACACTTAATGCAAGGGTGGTAGTTATGTGGAAATAAGTACTGAAGTGGGAATGGGCAACCAGGTAGGCTATTAAAACTTTCAGAGGAAAGGCTATGCATAAGTCCACATGTACTCTGCAGAGCTAAAATAGTGCGGAAAAACGACTATCAGAAACCAAAAATATAGGGAACAAAACCTTATAAATGTCTGTGCTTAGAGACAAGATGTTAGGAGGAGTTCTCTGAGGTAAAAGATGGGAGAGGGATGGGATATGGCAGTGGAAGCGCATGGGTCTGTTGAGGTGATGATGCAGGAAGGGCTTATCTTCTCACAGGAAACAAGGAACCACATGTATGTATGTTTATAAAAAATTCCTTTGAGTTTTGAAGAAGTTGGTAGCCACCCTCAAGCTGTCTGGCCCTGCTGTTGCCCAGAGGTTCTCTCTCTAAGTCCAGAACCTTGCCTAAAATGATGGAGGGAAGTGACTTTAAGTTAAGGTGCTATGGACCAAATGAAGTGGGCTGCCTGCATGTTCCCATTTACTGACTCTGCCAGGAGAATGGAGTGGGTAGCTCTGAACAACATCTGCTGTGTTGGTGTATCTGCTTTGTGTGATTTCTGGATGTGATAGTTGTGTACCTGAGGATAAGAATAGTTGAATTTGAACAGACAAATTTCAAGTCGGGTTTCAGACTTCAAGGAGACAGGTGGATTAACGGGATGGTGTCAGCTGTGGCATTTACTGGGTTGAACACAGCAGACCGATGACCAACAAGTTGTTGTTTCCCATCAGTTGCTGTCTCTGGAACTGACCGACAGCTGCTATCTATTACTCAATGCTACTGGGTGGAATTAATTTTGTTCAACAGATTGGAGGAGAATTCGTATTAACAGCATTCACCCTTTCATCTACCTGTTTTCATAGCACGACATTTTTGTAATTTTAATCAGTAGTATGATTAAGTAGTACCTCTATTTGGGCATCTTTCAAGTATTTATTTTTTAAATTTTTAGTCTATTGATGTATTACCCTCCGTGGGGAAAGAGAGCTTCAGAGATGCTTCTCTTGATGAAAATGGGCTGGTGTACCTATTGAGAGTACCTGTATGATGAAAAGATTAATGTTTTACTTGTGCAGTGCTGAGTGATGGTTTGGAATACCAGTTCTGTAAGAAGAGGTGATTGATAGATGGAAACTACAGAATAATATACTTTGGAAACAGAAACCTCCTCATAATTTACCAAAATATTTAGCAGTTCTATACAGCATGATAATGACCAAAAAAGCTGATAATGTAACAGGTTATAGAAAAAACTGGTCCAATAAGGTCAACCAGAAGAAAAAAAATAGTGATGAAGTGCTTTGTAAGATAAATGTGTATGTCTGAGCAGCGAGAGTGGCCCGGAGAAGATGGGATTGTATCCTCTACAGTTTCCCATGGAAAATAAAAACAACGCAGGTGTATATGAGGGTACTATTTAATACTGAAGGAAGCACTATAGTCAAGGATATGAGTTTAGTTGCTAGAAACTATGGATTTAGCAGGTGAGACTAACTCTTCTTGGCTAATCTCAACAGCGCTTTCACTATATGGTTTCTCCCACAGGGCCGTACTTTTGGTATTGAATCTGTCTTGACTTACATGCTGTCAAGATTTGTCCAAATAAAATAGCTTTTAGGAAAGTAGGTATTTAATTATGTATGGTACTGTTTTTTTGTGTGGCAGGTGTACTAATAAAAGAAAAGCATCAGTACTATTATGTTGACCCAGTGTTGTTCTCTGACAAAGGCTTGTAATGTAAAGGTTTAAAAATACTTTATGCTATGATCTTTATGTAATGTCAGGTGGACTTGATTTTATTCTTCCACTGCCTCTTTTTGGACAATTGATTTGGCCCAGTGATAGATGATATAAAATAGTAAATTTGATGTAGACATCTACAGGAAAAAAAATAATCCAATAATCTGGATATATCAAATGAAAACCCTTTTTGCTTTTTAGATAATTACATCATATTAATGTAAATGTATAGAGACCTTATTAATCTAGACAGTTATTTGAGACACTGATGCTGTTCCAATGTCACGTTCTTTTTATATATATGTATGTGTATATATATATGTGTGTGTGTATAAAAACCCCATACTGGCTTTTCTTGGCAACATTCAGATTTCTTTATCTTATATAGAGATTTCTTCTATAATGATTGTTTTAAGAGTGCCATCTAGTGCCTAAAGCTTTTCAATACAAGTTGTGATTTATAAGTTAATGGATGATTTTATAGAGTGATGGAGCAGGAAAATTACTGCATCATTGTTTTATATTAAACTGGTATGGAATAGTTTAATAGGAAAAATGTAATTTTCAACCAAGTATAAGGAAAATGAATTTAAATTTTTAACATAATGAGAAGACATTAATTTCAGCTATGTTACTGTTGTATTTAAATTCTTATAGTAGTTGTATGTTTGAGGTATTAATGTAATGTTCTTGAATGTTTTTTTTCTTCTTATGTGTCCTCTTGATCTTCAGTTAGTATCTCGCCAGGTTCTAGTTTAATTTTTAATGCAGGAGCCAATATTATTTCCCATGGCCTAAATACTCTCTGTATGTGCCTTCTAACATTTACAGAAAGACAAACGTGTGCATTATGAAACTGATATGTGTTGAGGAATTTGTTTTTTTCAGTTATGTATCATGAAAGTTGTGAGAGATTATTGATTTAAAAAAACCCCACTTGCTATAAATTTTGTATACAGTAGAAAATTTTAAAGGAAATATTTTCTTTTGGTTTTGTATGTTTTGTTTAATATCAGAAATATGCGAAAATGTAACAAAAATTTTACACAGATCACATTCCTATCAGTATGTGAAGAGACAGTTTATATGTGAAACCATTCTTTCAAGAAGAGCCTGCAGTCAACTTATTCAAGCAGGATGTCATTAATAGGGTCTTATGTTAAAATTAATTTTAGCAGATAGTGGAAGGACCACTGTTTCAATCTCTTTTTTGTTCTAAATTGTGTATTCTTTTATGAATGTTGTGTTCTGATTTCTATTTCAGGAACTTCAGCTCAGGAGGAAGATGAAAGATAGTGTCGCTGAAGAACATTTGTATTTGAGTTTTTCTCATCAGTACGGAGATAGTATCTTTCCTCTTCACACATCTATTTCACTGTTTTTGATATCCTACTGTGACTGCAAATTATTCAAAATTTTCTTAGTGCCAACTGGTGAAAATGCAGATGATCAGTTTGTCACAAAAAACCTCCTTGGCGATCTTGAGGTCCATTTAATCTCCAGATGTCAGCTTCCAGTGGTTGTGCAGAGCTGCTGTTTACCTGCTGTTGTTGTGAAAGATGGCAAGTTCTGCCGAGCTGGGCTTTCTGTTGTCTTAAGGCATATCATACAGAAAACATATGAGGCAGATCCAGCTAAAAAGAATGTTTTGGAACTCTTAGGCTTTAAGAAGACCTGCTTAAAAGCCTGTGCTGAAGTGAGTGCTTCTCTTTCTCTTAGATACATTAATAGGGTTTTTTATAAGCATTAAATACTTTGATTTTGGCATGAAGATGAAAAATAGTTCTTTTAAAAGATACTACTTTGTAGATTCAAAAAATAGGTCTGATCTTTGTTTCATGTCTAGCAGTGTAGTTTCAATGAGTTATAAAGTACAGCTCTTCCAGTTTGAAGCAAACAGAGAAATAGCTAATTTATTGTTAATTTTGATTTCAAGATGATGGTATACTGTTAGCCTTCATCACTGCCAAGGCACAGTGCTGGCTTATGTTTAGCTTATGCTTGCCAGGATGTCCACGTTTTTTTCATCAGAGCTGCTGCCTGCCCAGGTGGTCAGTCCCTAGCCTGAACCATTACAGGGGTTTGGTCCATCCTAGGTGCAGGATGTTTTATTGAGTTTCATGTTGGTTCCTGTCAGCCTGTGCAGGCCCCTGTGAACGGCCACCCTTTCTTGGATTTGTTGACTGTTCTGCTCAACTCAGTGTCATCCCTGATGTGAGTGTATTCCATCTCCCCCTCCAGGTCGTTGGTAAAGGTAAATAGGATAGGCCTCAGCATAGACCCCTAAAGAGCTCGACTTCTAACTGCCCTTCAGGTAGAGTGACCCGTTATCCACTACTACCCTTTGAGTTGATACTTCAGCCCATTTATCACATAGCAGTTTACTCATCTGGCAGCACATCCATCTAAACTTGCCTTCCTCACTCCTCTCAGGAGGTTGAACTCCCCTGTTTTGTGATCACTGCATCCATAGCTGCCATTGACTATGGTGCCTCCAAACCAGTGCATGGCTGTTGGGGAGAAGCAGATCTGGGGAAGCATATCCCTGTGTAAGTCCATGTAGCACTAGCATAAAGAAATTATCCCTGGCAACCTCCAGGAACCTCTGGTTCTAATCTCTTCTTGGAACTGCTGGAAAATTTGAGTCCATATTTCAGGTGTCTGCAAAGTGAGTAAATTGAATAAGAGAAGATCTGAATTTAAAAGTTTTAAAACCTTTAAGTGCAAACAATTAAAAAAAGGAGGACAAGGATAAGAACATGGAAAAAAAAAATTTTTTTTTTTTTTAAGGTACTGTTTGGTTAGACTAAAGTTTTTTGATGTTGCATGCTAAAAACCCATGAATAATATGATACATTTCTGTAAAATAAGTGTGCTCAAAATCTGTTTGATGTAGTCTGGTTTTATTACCAGCATTTGATAGACATGGTGTGCATAAATTGATAACAGCTTTGCTTCTCGTGTGTAAAATTAGGGTGGCTGCGTAACTCCCAATAGTAAGGAATGAAAGTATGCTATACTGGATAACTGTTCATTCTGTTATATGTAAGATTTGTCTTACTAATTCTGCTACTGCAAAAGTAATATGGAATATCTGAGCTTCTAAGAGTAACAGAGAATGTATTTAAAGTTGGAATTTCTTTGCTTAAAGTGGAGAAAAATGTACCCTGGATTTTGTTTCTCTTTCTGTAGAGACATTAATTACATAAATTTATGTGACAGGTTAGCCAGTGGACCAGACTTTGTGAGATCAGCATACCGCTGGCTGTTGAAGGATTTTTAACGGCGCCTCCTGAGCACTGTCAGACTATTCCTCCTGACATTTTACAGCTTGAAAGGAAGCTTGGAGAACCTGTCCACGTACATAATGATGACAAAATTCGAAGGCAGAAACTTCAACAACAGAAGGCAGGTGCCAAGGCTGCAGTGCCTGTACTTGGTAAAGAAGCAACAGAGGAAGGAAAAACAGTGGAAATGCAGGAACATCCACTCCCAAGTTTGGAACTGAGTATAGCTTTCTCCAAGCTGCTTGTCCAGGAAGTATCAGATGCAGTCAACAGGGAGGCCCCTAACATCAGGAGAATAAAAACCTCTGACCTTCCGCTTTTGGAGCGTGTTTTTGCAGAAGGCCTTTATTTTACCTTGGCAGATATAGTGCTTTTGCCATGCATCCATCAGTTCTTGGTAAGATGGCAAGTTATGCAAATATTAAGTAGTGTACATGTATTTTTTTAAGATCTGGAAGGTTGTAAAATGTGTTAATTTAAAATATATAGTGACATTTGCAGTGTGAGCTTAACATGAAACGGAAGGTTTGTCTTTGTTTTTCTACCAACAGAAAACAGGAATTGGTAAGATCACCAAAATTACTTTTAAATACATAGCATATCAATACTTGGTAAACACTGTTAACTGCTAAAATATGATGCTGAAATATTTTGATACCAAGTTGCCCAGAATATTCCTCCATGAAAATACTTAAAAGGACACGTAAAGTACATTCTAATATGCATAAAGGAAAAGTAGGCAAGGACAAACCTATTTCCTCTCTCAAATTCGGTGTACTAGATTTATGACCATGACTAAATAGATGTTGATTAAAATGAGACCATTTTATCTGTGAGGAATTTTTTGAGATTTAGAATTTTGATTCCATCATAAATTGCAATTTTTTTTTTCATGTGTGACCCTTGAGCCCTGGTGGTCTGCAGCTTAACAAACTCTTATATTGTATAATACCTTTGTGTTAGCTCATACCAAGGATTGTCCTAAAAAACTGGCTTTGAGTTTCATTTTTACCTAAATCATAAGAGCTCTGGGGAAATGCTGCTTTATTTCTGTTCTCTGGTGGATGATCATTTTCTAAGCAATTGTACCTTGATACCTGCAGTTATCATCAAAATTGAATAACTTGCATCTGAAAGCTTCTTGCAGGCAGTGGGTTGAAACTGGTCTTGTTGGTAGAAGTGCCAGAGTTAAATTCTCTATTAAAATGTTCTTTATCACTTATATAACTGGACTTCCTAGATTGTGTTTAAAAAAATCATTATAGTTTCACTTTGCTGTAAGGGTGTGAATAATAATGAAGTCTTCAATGGGTATGTGTCTGGAAAGTATCATACAATAAATATGCGGAGACTTGACAAGCGGATTGTAATTATAATTACCAAAAGTAAGATAATGAAGCTGAAGAGTTGTTTTTCATTACCTCATTCCATTTCTGTTATCTTTCTGAGGTTAGCTTTGTTATGCTTTCTATTAGTTGTAACTGTTTAAAATTAGTAGAAGAATAACAAAAGCTCCGTTCTCCATCTGGGAGAAACCACTATTCACTTTTTAAAATACAATTTAGAACACTTGTTATCAATTGTAACAGTGCCTCTTCAATTGCTTTCCGAAAGACTTCTTTTTGACTGAATTAATGTATTTCTGCCTGTGTTACTATTAGGATATTGAATTAGATACTAAAATTACACAGTTCATCCTACTTTTACTTCTCTAGCTATTACTTGGGATTACCGTAAGAACATTATAAACACAGCATGCAAGAAAGCTGCTTGAAATTTTGGGTCATTTCAAATGTTCTTTGCCAATTTCTGTTTCCACACTGAGGTCAGATATGTGGAAGAGCACTGGTTTTGCATGGCCTTTTCTGCCTTATCCTGTAATTATGATTTTTGATTTTCTATTTAAAGCAGGCACAGCATCACAGACGAGTTGAGGTTGGAATAGTTGAGATTGGAGGGCACCTCTGGATATAGTCTTGTGCAACTCAGAGCAGGGCCAGCCAGAGCTAGTTGCATGGGGTCATGTCCAGTCAGGTTTTGAGTGTCTCCAAGGGTGGAGACTTCGCAAACTCTCCTGAAAGAGGATGATCGTCACTGTTCTAAAACTTTTGTCACTGTTCTAAAACATTTGTGAACCTGAACAAAAATTACTTAAATTCACCAAATGCATCCTTTTTAAAATTAGCTGTCTTCATGCAAAAAAGTGACTTATCTTTTTTTTTTTTTTTTTTTTTAATATGTGCATTGTTTTCTTACTTGAGAATTTCTTCGTGCCTTCTTGTGGCTTGTAGGAAGAAACGTACAGTAGCAAGTAACCTTTCAATTTTTCTAGGTTTCCAGCAAAAAACAAGGCAAAAATCTGGTCAATTTACCTCTGATATGCAGTTGGTATCGAAGAGTTCAAGAAGTACCTGGAGTGAAGAAAGCAGCTGGCAAATGCAATATGGAGCTTGTCCCGCTGCCAGAGATGATGTCTGCTCCAGAGGAACAGCTACAAGACATCTCTTCAGTTCCTGATGAATTAGAAAAGGAGAATGAAGACAATCATTTTATAGGCGGTCCAAGGCCAACTATGACAAAGTTAATGGTAATTTAAGCTTTTTAATGAGTTATTTTTAATAGTAATATTCTGCTTAATTTGGAATAGGTGAAATTTATTAAAATTGCAGAAGCTAAGTCTGAAGCCTTGAATGGTGTAATACCTTTTGCCTGTCTTCTCTCTGATTACATTGACTTAGAAGTGATTTTACTTTTTTGTTCTGTTACTGTATTTGATCAATTCAGGAATTGAGGAAAGATGGGACTGCTGGAAGCCCTATCAATAATTCTGAATAATGAAAGTAACTTTTTGTTTCAATTGCAGTATTGTATTTGTCTTTTAAAGACATTTATATAAAAAGAATGACAAAAACCATTGCTTTTATGTTTGGCTTAATTATTCTATAATTTCTGTTGGTTTTTGGCTATTTATTTAGAGCTTTGAACATCTAGGAACCCTAATGAATTTTGTTAAAGAAAACTCTCCATCATGTTCCATAACTCTCTATGTTTTTTTGCATAGAGGCTGACAGCATTTCCTACAGAAAATTAACAGGGCTTTCTTGGGAAAATGAGATAAAGACTTAATTTGAATCCCATATAATGTAGAGTCATCTGCCTGCTTAATTTCAGTTAGGGTGAAAGTGCTGCACAGTTTGATGTGATGCCATTAAATTCAGTGGGAATTTTGCTACCAACTTCAGTGGGTAAAGGACCGGGGTCTCATTTTTTTCTCCCCTTTCACATAGGAAAATGGCATTGAAGCAAGGTTTTCTCCTCATCCGTGCCCCAGCTGGACCCTAGACTGGACCAATCTACCAGCTGCAGTCAGTCCTGGAGAAGGTAAGGGTTTTTATGTGTGTGTGTAGGTATTTAACAGTGCCTTCTTCTGGTGAAGCTACTTGACAGTTTCATAGGAAAATATGTCACTTCTCAGTGTATTTCAGAGCTCTGTAAAACAGGTAAGTGGTTTGAAATCTGTTTTAAATCAGTCTGTTTGGGACACATGGTGAGATGACTGCCCTCAGGTCACCAACAGCTGATGATCAAACTGGGAATAAAAGCTTGACTTTGATTCCTGAACCATATTTTTTACCACTGTTTCCCACTTTCCTGAACTTTTCTTCATATCTAGAACAGTAGATTCTGACTAAATGTCATGTTAATATAGTCGGCATGAATGTTGTACATGGACTGTGTTTCCCAAAGCAGCAGCAGCTGCTTTTATTCTGATGAAAATAATATTCAGTAGCAAAGTTTGGTAGCTACCTAGGAGTGAGTCTTCTCTTTTGTGGCAGTGTTCCCTGCTCTGCAGAGGTTGTTTGCGGGATTGCAGGGCAGTCTGTTGCCTAGTGGCTGTAGTTATACAGAAAAAAAATGATGTATCACAATGTTTGCTGTTTTCATTGGTGTTGTGGATATTGAATACCTCTTGAACCACACAGTAGAGTTTCCTCTAAAAGGTCTTGCACATACTGCGAGACAGTAAGAAGTTAGTGGACAGTAACTCCTTTCTGCAGGGAAGAAAAAGGTTTGTGTTCTTTCGTGTAAATCAGATAACTTAGATACTGGAGTCAGTCTGGCCTCAGTGGCATAGAACTTCTGATCTAAAGAATATAGATGTATACATACAGCATGTAGATCCTCTTCAATGACTGATTTTTTTTTTTTTTTTTTACTTTAAATATCTAACTGTGTGAATACAAGTGCGTATTCCCATCTACGATATACAGGCTATAAAAATAAGATCAAATTTGAAGTTGATTTCTCTGGTTGGGATCTGTATGTAGTTCACAAAGTAACGACAAAACCCTTGAGTACCATGAGCAGATTTATGGTTTTATATAACGGGTCCATCCTTCTAACATGAACTGTTTTCCTCTGGTTCTGTCGTGGGAGAACTCTTTACCAAGAAGTTGCACACCCTGCTTTAATTATTATTCCTTTTTTTCCTTTAGCATGGAAGGAAAAAAAAAACAAAACAGAACTTGGGTTTGCATCTGTCAACATTGCATCATGCTTCTTCAGACTTTGTGGGGGTGTTTTGGATATACTTCTTATGTTAAAACAGCTTTGTAGTCTGCTGAAATGCTCAGGAATGATTGTGTGTGTTGAATTTCTGTGACAAGTTCCAGCATTTCGTTGGAAATAATAAACATTTTTTCTTTTTCCAATGCTGAGGGCTTTGTCTGTAAGTTTTAGTTCATACTTGTGTCAAGATATCTCTTTTCTTCTATTTGAAAGAAAATTTTGAAAAAGATGCATAACGTACAAGAACACATAATGAATGTATATTTTGAAATTTTGTGCTGGAAGGAGTCTCTTGAATTTGATTTGACTGGGGAAAAAAATCGACTGCTGCTTCCTGCCAGCATGTGTGCTTGCTCTCTTTTTTTTTTTTTGCATCTGCTGGAGTAGTTACTAATGATGTTGATATCTGAAATCAGTTTTCAGTTCATTTTTTGGTCAGATTTGCTAGCTCAGCCAGGTGCCGAGGGAGGGATTTCACTTCCCTCCACCCAAGATCATAGTGATGGTGTTGCCATTTTCTGATTTAGGGAAACTCCAAATAGTTGTGCTTTTAGTCCAGGCGCAACAGAGTCCCATAGGACAAAAAGAGATTTCCTGATATGGGAATTGATTTTGCTTTTCAGTTGGGTACATCTGCATGCTTACCTCTGCTGTTCTAAGTGGTACTGTTCTGTTTCCTGATTCTTTTGCTAGTACAGCCTAATCAGTTATATGAATTGAATTCTCAATATTTTACTACTAAATCCTACCTGGCACGCTAAGAAAATAGTCACTGAATCTGACAGGATTTTAAACTGGATTTGAATAATGCAATTCAAGCTCTGTTAACTGGTAAATAAATTTCCTCTTACTAATGTTAATAGCAGTTGAGACAAAGTAGAGGATGTTTCAGTTATAACTCACTTTGGTTTTTGTCCACTGTAAACTTAATTTGCTGGCAAATCTTAATTTAATAGCATAAATGATACGTTCTTTGCTCTGTCTCAGCTCAGATAACTCCGAATTTGTGTTATATGCATGTGGCAGTTCAGGGATTGAGTTGTTCGGTTGTTCTTTAGGTCTAATTAGACCACCTTGCTGTCACAACTATTTACTACAGAAAATAGTTACTGGTGATTGCAATTCTAATGTATTCTTTAGATTATACGTTTAAGTTCATTCAGGTTTTTTGATAGGGATAATTTACTGTTGCAAAACTAAAGCTGATGACATCGTGATTTGCATTTCATTTGCTTAGTCATGTTTCTGCAGCAGAATGAGATGGAATAGAATAGAACAGACTGTTTCAGTTGGAAGGGACTGACAATGATAATCTAATCCAAGTGCCTGACCTCTTCAGGGCTGACCAAATTAAAGCATGTTCTTAAGGGCACTGTCCAAATGCCTCTTAAACACTGACAGGCTTGGGGCATGGACCGCCTCTCCGGGAAGCCTTTTCCAGGATTTGACCACCCTCTTGGTAAAGAAATGCTTCCTAGCGTCCAGTCCAAACCTGCTCCAGTGCAGCTTTGAATCATTCCCACACAAAAACCTCTTAGTTCCAGTCCTGATGTGATTTTTAAACGGTGTTTGATTGACCAATTAAAATTGTTTGTAATTGCTAACAGAACGGATTAATGTAACAACTGTGGAATATATGCTTTATTAGGTGTAGAATTATTTGATTTAAAATTGTTGTCAAGATTGATTCAGTATATCCAAGTTGCTTCTAGGATAATTTTGTGAAGATAGGTCACAGTTATTTTATTTTGTCCTGCTTTTACATTGATACTGCCTTCGGAGTATTTTAGACTTGAGAGATGCTTTGTGGGATTAGAATACATGATGCTTAAAAATCAAAGCTGTTTTAGGGAATCTGATATTTTATTAAATTTTTTACTAATCAAGAGATGCAAATTATGTGTTTTACTTTAAATGATATAAGCAACAGTGTTTCTAAAATGAGATCCAGGCAGTCATTTATTCTATAAAACAAAAAGAGTTAAAAGAAACACTTTTAAGTTCTCTATTTCCCTTCCAAGGCTGTCAGAACTTTTGGAAAGACTTTGAAGATTTTTTTGAAATAGTTTTGTAGCCTATTTCAGTATCTCAAGCATCCTGAAGCAGGAACTCATCCTTCTTCTTCAACTGATTTTTCCATATCAGACAGCTCTTTGCCTGCAACCCACATGGATAACAATCCAAGGGAAGCTCAACTGAAGCTGCTTCTCATTAACCTCTCCTTAAAGTTATGGTTTTGCTGCACTCATTTAAAAGTTTAAACTGCATTTATGATTGTATTGTATTTTGCAATTCAAGATCTGGAAAACCTGCAATGACAACGGAGCCAGGTTGCTTCATATTCTTAATAAATACTTTGGATCTTTTGACTGTTCTGGTATATAGGATTGCATAGTTGGCCCGAAGACAGTTTTCATTTGAATGCAATTACTAATTTTTATACCAAAAAAGAATTCTTTACGTGTGGCTGGAAATAATAAATTATGTATGCCGTGAAGCCAGATAGCTCATCCATGGCAATATACACTGTTCCTACTATTGCTGTGTTCTCCCTCCATTTTTCTTTTGCGATTGTCTTGATTGCCAAACTAAACTACAGAAGGGAATACATTACTTTATGATTTTAAGGTGCCTATTTGAAGACAGGAGGCAAAGCTATTGTATAACTAAGTTAAATTAGTAGTATGTAATAATGATTTTTAGGTACAATATTGTACTGAAATAAATACTTTTTTGAAAACATAGAAGGCTTGTATGCCTCATGAAAACAATGCATGTGCATTATGAGGGCTACAAGTTCAGTATGTTTGTGTTTGCTTGAAGTCTGTTGCATATTTTAAGTGGTGTTTTGATCTAAATAGCACGCTAACAGCCTCTGAAATATTCAAAATCTGTAAAGAAAAAACAGCAGTCACTGTGTATCTTACTGACATTCATACTAGAAGGATTAATATCAAGTTCTAACAGCTGCATTTTGATTCAGTTAGGACACATTCTCAGTGGTGTTTGGCCTGTTTTGTAAGAAGTTATTATGGTGTGGGTGACTGGTGGACTCTCCATGCGGCTGATTATCATACTGAGAAGTGTCACCTTTGTTTTAGTGCCTTGCTTTGTGGTATAAGAGTAAACCCTCAGAGAATTACTGAAGCCTTAGCCCTTCATATTGAATATCCCCTCCTATAACAGGAGTTCAGTTTTTGATGAAGTTTAATCCCTAGAGGTATGGTTTTACAATTCACAAGTCCTTGTTAATTGTGAGTTTATTAGGCGAGAGATTTGGTTTATAGAATACAGTATATAAAGTCTTGCTGTGGCTTGTGTGTTTTACTGAACATATCTAAAGAATTAAAATTAAATGCTGAAATTTGCCAGATGAAATGTTTTAGGAATTTATGATTTGGGAACTGAAGGCAATTCTTAATGATTTGTTTTTGTAAACTCAGAGTAGTCTTAGTTCCGACAGTTAAATTAAAGGATGTTCTTGATTAATCAGGGTGAACTTTTGCAAAGCGTCAGCACTTGACGGTCACTGGCCTAAGCTAGTATGTGTAGGTAGAATTTGAGCGTGATCTGCCCTAGATATAAAAAATAGTTTTACTCATTAGGCTGAGGGTCTTTTTCCTTTTTGTGTCTAAAGTTCCCACTCATAAGGGAGGACATAAAATGCAAAACCATTAACTCATAGATGACTAGCTGATTTATTTTTTTTAACAGGACTGTTAAATTAATTTCTCATGTATTCTTCAGAAATCTTTAATTAATATTAAGTAGCCTGCTAAGTAACTCTGGCCTTTGTTTCATTTAAACTAGTTGGTCTTTTTTCTTCTCCTGATACCATTGCAGTAGAGCTTGCTTGTTTCTTTACCCCTTTTATATGTATCATGGGATATCAGAACCCCAATGTTATATTATTTATCTCTTAAGCCAGAGGTTTAGAGAACAAGTTTCTGCAAAGTACTCCATAGCGTAGAGGTGCAGGTAATTCTTTATGGTAGATTCCTGTTACAATTGAGGAAAGGAGGATTGATGGTCCCTTCTAACAATTTTGGTCTGGGACAGCATCCAGCAAAAATCTGGAACAGATGATTAATGTGATCCAAAAAAGACATTTTCTTTTAAACATGTCTCGAAATCATCAGCAGGGGTATTTTTGGGGAAGCAAGAGTATATAGAAATCTATCTCCTTTAATGGTCAGTAAGATGAACATAGGAGTGATGCTGTGCTACAAAGTGATGCTTTGCAGAGAAGACAGTGATGACACATTTCTTGCTCTTGTGGCCTGGAAACTACATATGAGAGGGCATTTAACTACCTTTTTTTTTTTTTTTTGAGCCCTGTTTGTAGTGTTACAATTTCATAATACATGGTTCCATGTATGCCATCCAGTCTGAATTACACAGAAGCCGACCATTCATACACTTCTGGCCCTCAGAAGGTACTCATGGCAGGTGGA